AAATTGCTGGGACGCGTTCCAGTTACTCATGAGTCAGTTGGTTACAGGCACCTCGGGAGCTGGCACAGAATAAATTACAAGCTGTCTCAACACACCCCACAGCTGTGTCGGCCTCAAGAAGAGAGGCTGCACGATCATCCAACAAAGATTGCATATCGAAAAAAGATACCTGTCTACGTTGTCTTACTATTCTCAGAACTGTACTCCTTTCTAAAGTTGAGCCTTGGTCATCCGAATTTTCCAGACTATCCTGGGTGCTGATAACTAAACACAGTTTCAAATCACCTTTTAGAGCAATCCGTTTCAGTTTGGATTGGAAAATGGATTTTTGTAAAATAACTATTTTGCACTCTCCTCTACAGCTGAGCTATTTTTCTTTGTCTGTCACCTTTTAATATCCTCATTGTTCATGGTGGGAGGGTTGTGTAAAACATTACACGTTTCAAGTATGAAACTATCCAACTAAATCATGATATCACTCATAAAGGTCAACTTTGTCTTCTAGATTAAAAGGTCTGCCAAAGTTTCCGAGACTTTGCAGAACAACTTAATGCAAGGTATTGTAGAGGACACCACCCATTGTGTTGCTGATGAAAAGCTATTAAACACCTTAACAGCTTTCAGTAATTCAGCCCATGACATCAAACAAGATAAAACAAATAATTCTTGTTTTAAAAAAATTGCAATTTTAGGGGACTGCTGTTTTGCTGCTAGGATTTTTTTTCAGCTGGGAAGCCCATCACCATGCTTAAGAGTATCCAAACCAAGCTGAGATTTCCATGCATCCCACCTAGACTTGGAAATTCCAGAGCTGGATTGTTGGGATGAAATGCACACTGTCTCTCTGGAGGGACACATCCTGCTTACTTAATTCCAGAAAACATTAGGCACAGGTTGGCAAGAGCCAAGGCTTAGGAACCCTCCAACTGTGCATTAGGGTCTAACCAGCCAAAACTGCATAGCTTGCCATTGAGAGCACTGTCTTTCAAGTTTTCCAACTGCTTGTCCAGCTAGGACACCCTATCCATTGGGATTTTGACTTGCAGGGTTAATGGGAACTGAGTAGGAAGAGTCCCTGCCCACAATCACTGGTCTGCCCTTCCATGTCCTGGTTGTGGTGTCATCAGCAGGGCCCTGGAATACTGTGGACATCCCTGCCTCAGGAACAAGACCGCCACCGAGGATTGCCTTGATTCTGACATTCCATTGCCAAATATGTCACCTTGGAGCCAGTTGAGATCCAAAGAGTCTCTGCTTACATTTGGAAATAAAGTGGTATGATTTTAAATTTAAAAATATTTAAAATCACATTATGAAATAAAATAGTGTTATTTTATTTTTTAAAAAATCTGAAGTTACACTAACAAAGAGAAATTCTATGCAAACTTCTAAATGATAGGGTACTCTCCGAAGTGAAACCTATACACAGCAATCAGTCACAAAGCAATTAATTACCATGTGTTCGAAGCAAGGGAGGCAAGCAAACAAAGCAGAATCTTACACTGAGGAACTGCTACAACTTGACTTTAAACCCTAAGCCTCCATCATTTGTTCATAAGCTTAAATTCATAAAAACAGGATCGAGTGAAAAAATTGAGCATCTATGGAAGAAGTAATACTCATTGAGTTTCAGTGAATGCAACTTGAGTACTTGCTTTTTACCACAAGGACCTGAGTTTCAATCCACCCCAGAATTACAGGATAGCTTCTTCTCTCTGCCAGCACTACAAGTTCAGAATGGAGACAGTTTGGGGGCAGTTTCAACTCAGTGGATGTGACTTACTCAGCATGCATTTACCTAGTGCTCAGTGGATGTGAGTTTCAGAACACAAAACTACAAGTAATTGAGCAAAAAATTTGAAATAAGTTGTCAATGGTCATCAGAGGTCACTGAGGAGGAAACTGGTACAGTGGTGGAGCTGTTCAGCAAAACTGTTCAACCAGAGCTGGGTCAAAATGGAAGAATAAACTTGACCTGGAAATGCTGAGCGTGTGACACGCACATGTATAAAGTAACGCTTGCATCCACATGGTAGCATTATTCACTGAGTATTCTTATTCTGTAAATCCTATGCAAAGTAACTTAAGAGTCTCCAATTGCTAAGTAGGCACAGTGAACCTGGATAAAATCAAATCTGAGTTGAAATCCCTTTCATGATTCTGACCAGTTAAAACTCCAGCCGAGACTGTTTTTTTTACCATGAGCAGGAACAAATGAGAAATCTTTGAAGTAACGCAGTTAACATGCCAACTCTCATCTCCCTTCCTTGCCTGAACACCAGCCCCAGCTCAACTGATGAAAGGCCAACCCTGGGTCCGATCTCGCCAACTTTTCATTTATTACTGACATGGACAGCTTGTTTTGGTTTCATTTATTTTGTTTTAAAAATCAGCGTGGCGCCTTCCTATATTCGTCTGCAGCATCTCCGTGCGCATAGCGGTATGCCAGTGTTCCGCTTTGAATAAAGTTTTGTGAACTCGGTGGAAGGCGTCCAATGGTTTTAGACAGGCAGCAGCTCAGTCTTCAAACACCTATTGTTCCATTAGCCTCATCTTTCCCACACTGACCTACATTCCCCCCTCCCAACTTTTAACATGATTTGCTCTCATACACGATGCTTCAGTCATACCATGTCAGGCAGATCTTTCTCACCAAATAAATAACTTCTGCCATCGACCATCTGTTAACATTGAAATAATAATCCTTCCAAAACCAAAAACAATAATAAATTGGTCATTTTCAATCTACGACTGTTTGTGGGACATTGCTGTGCGCAATTGGCTGCCGCATTTGCCCACAAATATACAGTCAATTCATTTTGCAGTGTGTTCTGTGAAGCGCTTTGGGACGTCCTCCCGATGTGAAAAGCGCTATATCAAATGCAAGGATTATTATTATTATTATTATTATTATAAAGTAAAACTAAACAGGAAATTGTTACAGATAGGAAAACTGTACAATGGTGGGACCCATTTAACACCGATCACTGAAATCTCATCATAAATCCCATCAACAAGATAACTATTTGCAACTAACAATGTAAAATAGAGCCTGGTGTAATTTAATTGGCAAGGTCTCTACCCTGACACATCACAATGTTGAAATGAAGATTCATAGGGAGACAAAAACAGAAATCGCTGGGAACACTCAGCAGGTCAGGCAGCATCTATGGAGAAAGGAAAGTGGGTCAACTTTTCAGGTCCATAACCCTTTGTCTGATCTTTGTCCTTAAAACCTTTCCCTCCCAACATCCCCCAGTTCTGATGAAGTGTCATCACTGTTGAGTGTTCCCAGCAATCACTGTTTTTGTTTCAGATTTCCAGCATCTGCAGTATTTTGCGTTTTATCCATAGGGAGACATAGGAACAAGAGTAGGTCATTCAGCCCTTTGAGCCTGTTCCACTATTCAATTAGATCATGGCTGATCTGTACCTCAACTAATCCTGTCAATTCCAATTTCCTGCTTTTTCCCCATTTGCCTTGATACCCTGATGTACCAAAAATCTATTAACCTCACTCTTGAAGGTATGAATGAATTCAGCATCCACAGCCTTTTGGGGGAGAGAATTCTAGATTTCTACCCATTTTCAGTGAAAAAATGCTTCCTGCTTACTTTTTGCACCTGGGAACTAGTTTTTAGTGATTTGTGGATATGGACACCCAAATCCCTTTGCTCCTCCACAGTTCTTAGTCTTTCCCCATTAAGAAAATATTCTGCTTTATCTTTTTTCGGTCCTTAATGGATGACCTCGCACTTCCCTTCATTGAACTCTATCTGCCACAGCTTTGCCCACTTATTGAATCTGTCTGAGTCCCTTTGTAACTTTCTACTCCCATCCATATAAATTACTGAGCCTCCTAGCTTAGTGCATATGCAAACTTGGATATAAAACTTTCTATTCCTTCATCCAAGTCATTTATATATGTATGGCGAAAAGCTGAGGTCCCAGTGCAGACCCCTGGGGAACACCACTTGTGACGTCCCACCAATCAGAAAACATTCCCTTTATCCCTGCTCTTGTTTCCTGCCTCCAAACCAATTACCAAACCATGTCACAAGTTTACCTCCAACTCCATGCACTTCCATCTTCGCTCATAATCTTTTGAGCAAAACCTTATCAAATGCCTTCTGAAAGTCCATATAAATGACATACATAGACACTCTCTTATCCACCATTTTATTGACCTCCTCAAAAAATTCAACTGGATTAGTCAGACACGACCTATCCTTCACAAACTCATGCTGACTCTCTTTGACTAGCTCATACCTGTCCAAGTCCAGTCACTCTGTCCCTGATGATGGATTCCAGTATTTTCCCGACAACTGACGTTAAGCTGAAAGGTCTGTAGTTTCTTGGTTTCTCCCTCCCTCCCTTCTTAAATAATGGAGTGACATTCACAATTTTCCAATTTAAAGGCACAATTCCCAAATCTAGTGAGCTCTGGAAAATTATGACGAATGCATCTGCAATTTCCTCTCCTATTTCCTTCAACACCCTGGGGTGGAAACTATCAGGTCCTGGAGATTTGTCTATCTTCAGTCTCATTATTTTCTCCATTACCATTTTTTTATTTATATTAATTTTATTAAGCATTTCACCTTGACTTCTTTTTAGGTTCCCCTGTATAGCTGGTATTTTTTACTCATCCTCTACTGTAAAAACGGTAGCGAAGTATTTATTTAACAAGTCAGCCATTTCCTTATTTTCCGTTATTGTCTCACCTACATCTGTCTTTAATGGGGCCACATTTCCCTTGACCACTCTTTTTCTCTTAATATATTTATAAAATCTTTTACTTTTTTTAATATCCCTTGCAAGTTTTTTTTCATATTCCCGTTTTGCTCCTCTTATTACTTTCTTTGTATCCTTTTGTAGTTCTCCTAGTCCTCTGCGTTCCCACCTTTTCTTGCTATGATATGGACATCATAGACATATAATTAAAGACTTTTTGTGCTATTAGTAAAATACATGGATTATTTTCCTTCCTCCCTTCTTTCTTTGAACATGTCTTCGTAAACATCTCTTCCACCATGCCTTGGGTCAGCATCCTTAATTCTCTCCTTCCCCTGTTTGATACTTACCATTGTATCTGCTGAATCCTGCAACATGTTCATTCTGTGTGAAAGACTATAAGTGCAGGCTGCTGTTGTAATAAGTGCTTAGTAAGAAGACTCTTCATGTATGACCCTTACTCATTACCATTCAAGGAATGTGTCTCAATAGCTGACCTTCTTTCTCTTTCAGATGTCAATTGTTCTCCTATGGATTCCCAGCATTTCCAGCGCTAGTAACTAGTGTGGGTCGCATTTCTTCCAACACATTATTAAACTGTTTTTTTATTAATCACTTACTGAAATTTTCACAGCCTCGAAATGATCAAACAGAAAGTTCTGCCACTACCACAATCTCCAGGTGTTTTTTTTACCTAATCGGCAACTAGGAGTGAATTCATTCAACTGGAAGGAGATGGAGTGAAGAGCAGCAGTCATAAACTGCTCTGATCCATTACACAACTCTCAACAAACACCAGTTCTCCAGATAGCTTAACAGCTCTGTAATCTTTTTGTTTTCATTAATTTTCTTAACTTAAGAATATTCTTCAATTGGAAGTTAGGATCAATTTATTAATGTGAAGCATCACAGTACTATTGAGCAGCAAATGTAATGAGCTGAGATGGGATCTGCAAACTGCCTCCACTGTATTTGATACCTTGCGAAGTCTTACCGAAGTACGATGCTTTTCAATAAGTCGGAGATGATGTGCAATAACTCATTACCTGGGATAGGCACCTGCTCTCCATTATGTCTCCGCACTCATCCTAAATCCATTCTTCAACTGTCTTCTGACCCATGCAGCCCTGTGCACTTGCAATTTTGATTTTTTTCCTCTCTCCTTAAAATAAACCACAAAATAAAACGGTTATCTAAATCTCAGCATTTGTCGTTATTTGCACAGGATGTTACATAGTGAAGAGACAGCAGCATGAACATAATCCTTGCACGTTCACCACAATTCTAAAGGTTTCTCGAAAAAGACAGCCTGACCTTTGTTTTCCTACTCCGATATTTTGCCCGTTCAGTTGAGGCACGGCTCCCTGCACAATCTCAATGATGTCTTGACAAACAAACATCTGCTGCACTGCGGGTCGCTGGCATCAAGTGCCACTTCACGCATGGGGTATAATAAAGCAGGTACCCCATCACGTGTGAAATGCCCATTTCACCAGCAGTGAAACCATCGGTCATGCTCAAACAATACGTGACTGAACTCAGCTCACGAGAAAACCATAGTGAGTCAGGAGAACTGTGCACTGTGCTCCCAGACTTCAAGCTCTGCTCATGCAGAGCATTCAACAGACTCTCACTGCAGTCCACTCTGTGCCAGTCACTATCTCACTTGCACAGTCGGCCCCATCTTCTCCCCTTCCAAAGTCGGCAACAACAACAGACAAAACACAACCAAAGCTGCAACTGGAAGACAGACTGACATTTCCTAGCTGTCCATACGTTCTCTCTTGCCTTCCTTCCCTACAACAATTTGCATTTATATAGTCAACTGAGGAAAGCTGACTATTTCATTGAACACAAGCCCAGTGATGATGTGAAAACAAGTGTACAGTCTCATTAATCCTTTGACTTTGTCATGCTGAGTTACGAACAAACATAAAAAAAATTACACATTTAAGTGGGCACTCGCTTTTCATTCCTGAGAGAGGCAAAAACTCTGCCTGAAATGTTCTGAACAGGGAAGCTCAACGCACGGCTTTTTGTTTTGCAATTACTCTCTGTTTGCATTTATATTGCCGTGCATTGGCTTCATCTATTCACATCATGCAACAGCATACATTTAAAGTAACGCATACAAAGCAAAAAAAACAACAATAATCCCTCTTCCCCCAATTCACATGGAACAATATTCTATTCTGAATATTTTAAACTATTAACATAGGATTCTTCATTGCGCTTTGGTTTAATTTCCATAAACTCTAAAGAAGCTGCATATTGGATTATAAATTTCCAAGTTTCAATGCAATTTTACATTTGATAATTATGGATCCTGTAGATGGGGAGACCAGCACCCCATACACAATCGAAAAACAAAGCCCTACACTTAGAAAGACAGCTGCTTTTTGTCAATTTTCCAGTGAGTAGTGAGTAGTCTAGTGAACGCCAATGTAAACTATGGCCAGCAGATAGAGATGATCCCGGCAATACACGTCAAACAATACTCTTGCAGTGCAATCCCTTCCTATTAGGTGTCGCTGAGACACTTTTAGAGTACTCCTATCAGCTGCTTTGTATCGTCCTTCTTCCCATCATGTGCTCGCAGCAGAATGGTAACCACAAAGAGCAGAACCCATCACAGTAAGATGAAAGGAATGCTCATAACAGCTTTTTATTTTTAAATCGCACATGCAAAAAAATGCAAGAGATTTGTTTTTACAATTGGACAGCAATAATTCAAGAAGAATTTTACTATCGCTGCCAAAAAGACACTTAAAAAGTTGATCTGAACACCAGCTGCTGCCAGCAGCAGAGGTCGAAGCTCGAACCATTGAATGCCCAACTGAAAGCAGTGTACCACCTTACCAGTTCTCTGTAATACAACTGTAGTAAGCAAACCCGTCCAACACTAAATCACTGGAATCAGGGATACGGCAGGCAGCTGGGAGTGTGTTGCCCGGCTGCTCGAGGGATCCCCGTGATGATGGGAAATGCCATGATGATGCATGAAAGGCTTCTGCCTGAGATCAGGTTACAGCGCCCTCCCAGCCATCTGCGGTTCCGTGCTCAGCTCATGCAAGAGCCCTGTGTCTGTGCAAACTTAGGTGGCACGTTGCTTTTAAGCACAAAGCTCTTTGCCTCTTGACTCATTGCTTTTCCAGCTCCAACTCAACGTTAGACTCACGTAAAATTCAATGAATCTTTTTGACATGCAAGAGAAAAATATCCTACCTCAGAAAGCGATGCTGGGCTGTGGCACTTTGTTTGATAACTCTGGTAGGAGAGAACGGAACCAAAGCCAGTGGCAAAAACAAGACCCAACAAACTGCAAAATAGTACAATCTATCTACATTGCTTTGGGGATATGGGCGGCAATTAGAGGCTCCTGTGACTTTGTATTCATGGAGTTTACGGGATCTTCGCAATTCTGTGGAGATTTGAGTGGCACAATGTGGATTTGGGTGACAATTATAAGCTGCTGTAACTTTGTACTTGAAGGTTGATGACTTCTTCCGAATTCCTAACAGCTGCATCCTCCTATAACAACAGCCTCCTGCTCTAAAGCTATTGCTCTACTCTAACACCAGCCACATTCAGATGGCTGAAATTCATCAAAGTGCAGGTCACAGAGGCTTGTAATTATTATTAATTATAGTAAAAATACTTACATTTGATATTTTGCCTTAACACACTGAAACATATCAATGTGCTTCCACTCTGAAATATTGGGACCGTTATGCAGGCAAACACGCAAGATCAAACTGCACCACCAATGTCTGTCTCAATGAGCAACGAGATGAACAACCAATTTTAATCTTTACCTTTTCCTAAGAATGTGGATGAGAGTGCAATATTGGCCAGGACACATTATCCGCAAGGATGTTAACCCTTTTCAGCAAGCTCACCATTAGCTAACAACAACCAAGCTACTGTATGTGTACTGAAGAGTTGGCAAATTCAAAAGACTGTTCTTTCTGTTAAAAAAAAGTAATTTAAAGAGACGGTTACTTGTGCCTATTTTAGACAAACAGTGGCAGTCAGTTCTCAGGGGCTGTTGCAATACAAAGGCGAAACTCAAGCAGGCTTTCGATGCCACCAGAGAAGCAAGATCAGACAATTGCTTTGATGTCGCCAACAACCATTTGTTTTACACACACAGAGTTTGTTTAACGTGTAAATAACATTCTTTTTGGAGTGTTTCTTTATTATTCGGGCAGCATGGGTCAAGTGGGATAGAGACCCTGTGAAGGAGGCACTGGAACAATGAAGGCAAAAGCCTGTGGAACAAGGTAATTTGGATACACACCTTCAATACACACTTGCTGAGGAATAGTATTACCAGCCTTACTCGTGCGTGCAGCAGCTTACCAGGCAACATTAAAACGACATAAATATGGAATATATTTCAATGATATAGTTTACAGACTATCTATAGTGTAGCTTACACACATACAGTATATATTGTAAGATAATGCTCTCAATATTATGAACGGAACATATATTACAAACAAAATCACTGTAAAATCACACTCTAATATTCTCTACACATTATTATGCACATGCTTACATTAGGTATAGAGGTGGGAAAATTCCACTTCGGTCTAGAGTTACTCTATTTATTTGGCATTATTGAGCATCCAGGATTTGGCAAATTCTTAAATAAAATTTGAAACCGATTTTTGGTTTGTACTTTTATACAATATACAAAAAAAACTTTGAAGTTAAGATCGAATTCACCAATTTGTAAATTTCTGGACACTCGTATCCAGACCCAGGTGGAATTTCTCCCTAAAGTGTGCAATATATAGCCTATTTGCGCAAAATGGGTGTATTATAGCAGTGTACAATATGTAACAACCTATTTATTTGTGTGTATCTGTATGACACCACTTTTACTTTAAATAATATCAGTTTTACATGGTACAGCCCCGAAGTTGAGTTGGAATTTGAAAACTCACCTTCTGAAGCCTCCTGAGGTTATACGTGGCTGTGTATGGTCATCACAGGTAGCTCTTATTGCTTCTCTGTATATCGCTAGATTAGAAGGGAGAGAAAGAAAAATAAAACAGCAGCAACAAACTAAATAGCTTTCCCATTTCATAAGCTTCTACATTGTTGACGTCAAATTAACAAATAACTGGATTTTTTTGGACGTTCAACCTGCCTTCAACTTGGTTCAACTCCTGCAATTGGTATTTAATGTATACAACAAAATTATTAAACCTATCTGAATACAAAAATGTATCTCGAGCAAGCTTCAGTGCAATGTATAGGCTGAATGCTACTTTTGCAATAAATGTTTTAAGATAACATTAAGATGAGTGTTTTAACAAAACGTGTTCCATTAACACGAATAAATACACTTTCTTTTCTAACAAAAAATGGCTTGCTTTATTTAAGCAGATTTATTTATGAATCCAGTTCAAATATTTACTCAAATGCCACCTGACATTCTTCAAAAAGGTCTTTGCCACAAAGTGCTGGGGCTGCATATTGTGGAGCATACTGGAAATGGAAGAAAAATTCTCATTTTGAAAGATAAATTCCCCCGAAAACAAATTAAAAACAAAGCTGACAGAATAATTTGGAATCGGGTACTGAATGAAGTGAAAAGCTGCAACTTTATTAATGTAACGTTTACGTGACGCAGCCAAAGGCCAAAGACTTCTCTTTTCACTAAGTGAGCATCCATCCCTTCAGTAACAAGTTTCAGTTCCTGGTTTCAGCATCACCCGATGGGCAGGTTGCAAAATAGGTGCAAATAAACTCCTGCCCTTTCTGTTTGTAGCATATCAACGACAGTATAACTTGTTTACTTTCAAAAGTTGCAAAATATGGGGGTAACCCACTCAATTTCCCCTTTGCAAATTTCTAATTTAAACTTTTTTTTGTAGGACATTTCCGAATATTAATTGTCTCTCGAAAACACCTGAATATTTAATATTGATTTGCAAGAACAAACGGCTTAATTTATCTGTTTGTCGATGCTCCCCCGAAATAAAATTTTTGTTTTGTTGTAGCTCTTCTCATCTCTGAATGTAATAAAGGAGACACTGTCTTCATTAAAAAGTGTTCACTAAGCCCCGCAATGTCATCATGCAATTTAGATCAAAATGTCATTGAATCACAAATATATTACTGGCTGTGCCTGAAATATTGAGGCAATGGGGTACTTTGTTTTAGTGGTGTCTCTTTAAAACAGGAAAAATTGTGCCTTTCCTGTACTAAAGCTGAATTTATCATGAAAATCTCTAAGAATTGAAGTGAGTTTGGATCTCTGGAAAAGCTTATCATTAACTACAAGTAGCTCCAGTTGAATCTGAGAATGTTTGAAATGTTTCCACGATCAAATATAATGGCGGGGTGGGGGGGGGGGTGAGAGAATCTATCAACGAGCCCATTACTGAAATACAACAACAACAAGATTACATTTGTATAGCGCCTTTCACGTCGGGAGGATGTCCCAAGGCGCTGGACAGAGTACAGCATTTCAGCTAGTCATTTCAGAAATACAAGCTCTCAGTTCCCAGACCTCGCATGCCGCACAGTCACCATCTTGCTGCTCTTTCTCTCCTAGCATGGACTATTCTCGGGTGAACCTGCAGCAATGCAATCTCAAAACCGTTGCGCACCTTTCACTGAATGTCCCCTTGCACTGTACCGTGACTACAGCAACATTCTCTAAACACACCAAGGAAACTCAAGAACATTCACATCACTATATAACTAATACAATGGAGACCAAAAGTCTGAGATAGGCAAGATTCATAACATCATCTCAACCATAAGATTAGATTGCAGCCTTGTAAATGTGTTGCCATCTGCAGAATGAATAGAGAGACAGTGTGCACTGTATATTGTACAGCTAGAAAATGTTGTATGCTGTATTTGGCTACAAAATACAGTCACTACATTTTGCACTAAATCCTCTGAAGCACTTGGAGATGGAGATTGACGATGTCCTTCCAACGTGAAAGACGCTGTATCAAACGCAAGGATTATTATTATTTATTAGCTAAAATTTCCACTTTTGTTCTTTATGAATATAAATACATAATTTCGAGTGTCACAATATCAGCTTTTCAAAATGTTTTTTTTTAAACCAATTGCCAAATTTATTTTTAGTGACGGTGGGTTCGGGAATACAGTAAAAGCAGGGGGAGTATTAAAAAAAATTGAAAAGTAAATATTCAAAATATTTTTATATTTATAAAGCTCAGCTGTGATCTTCCTGTAATACAGCTGTGGGGTGTCGAGTACGCAAACGCTGCCGAATGCGTTATCCTGGATTCTTGCTGGGTAACTGATTCTGGAATCGAACCCTGGCTGGTTTTATTATAGCTCAGGTCCACTTAGTGCACCCGGGTTGTTCCTTGCTTGATGAATCTCGGAGCAAGTTAGATTTAAAAACTCCTGCTTTCATTGACTATATATTTTAAAGTGACCATTGAGAAAACAGTCACCGCCAGTGGCCATCACTGATCAAGAAAGTCTGCACATCCTGGCAAAAAAAATAAGGAAAAATTCCACTTTAGTTCTTGATGAATTTAAGTTCAGAAATGTTGTATTCTGCATTTGGCTAAAAAATAGTCTCTCTGAGTGTCACAAATATCAGCTTTGCAAATTTTTTTTTATTCTGTTCATTTTGTTCGAAGTCCTATCTCACGAGGCTCAAGACATTGAAACCACAAATTGTGTCTCATTTTTAGTAAATGCAAATTTGTGACCTGCCTTGCCCTCCTCCCTCTAAAAATTATATTTTTTGTGACCGGTTCAGTGACAGCCGCTTGCAATTCAAACCATCAGCTCTTGGATTTACATGTATGTATTGTACGAGAACTCACTTCTACCCTTTCCTCCACTCTCCTTCACAAACGAGACAGTGCAGCTCATGCAAACAGTTCCACGTCACCAAACACTCAAATGCCGCCCATTGGCCAACCCAGCAAGAAATCGCGATTGAGCCGTAAATATTTTAAACTTGAAAAAAAATCGGTTTACCTTTGCTGAGTTTAAAAAGGCACCTTTAAAATCTGGTAATTGGAGCTGACTGAAATGATCTCGTTTCCATCGTTTCTGACTTTGCACTGAACACAACGTCAGGTTGGCAATGGCTGCTTTAACTCCTCCTGCTCCTTCCCTGCAACGTCTCATTTCCTGATCTTACAGAATGGCTGCTGCCATCGACGAAAAAGTCCTGCCTGCCACCCACCAGTGGGGTTACTTTTTTTAAAAAAATTCTCAACACGCAAGCGAGCGCCCCCTCCCCCCCCACCCCCGAAGACTTTGCTGGCAACACAACACTCTCGGTCTTTTTTTAAAGTCTGCTCACAACAACCATTGCGTCGTTACTGATTTCTCCAAGGCATGTGAGACAAGGTCAGTCCTTCACGACACAGTGCTTATCAACGCTACGCAAAGTGGAAATGTGACATTTACGTTCAGAATAGACTCACCGCCTTCTCCAACCGAATCCCGATCGCTTCAAATCATTTTCAGGTGCCGGTTCCGATGTTCGCTCCCCACGATCAACAGAGGAGCGAGTTCCAATTGCAGGGTGGGGTGCACCTTCGGAGGTCTGGGGATGACAAGCGACCAATATATTATACTGTATCCTCTTTGCTCCCTATTCCAATTTAACACATAACGGACCCCAAAACGAAAGGTTTAACTGTAGCAAACGGCTCAGGAACAAGACCTGTGTCATTCCTCTTCTGGCTAGTGAGAATGAAGGTTTGGGCTGACACTGCTCCCTCATAATATGTCATCTCTATTGTGTGTGTGTGTGTGGGGGGGGGGGGGGGGGGCGGGGGGAATGAGGTGGTTGGCGAAAGGGGAATTTACCCCGCAATAATTAAAGTGGGACGTTCCCAGAACATTTGATCCTGCAAATGCAACGTTTGTCCTTTTATCTGCCCAAAGGTTCGGTTGCACAAAATCCGCCTCTGCAAATGACTGCAGACCGAAGCAGTTTAAAACTGATTGTCAGGAACGTACGGCAAAGATTTCACTTCAAACCACCGTTGTACTTTGGGGTTGTCGTCCCAACAGCTTCCTCATCATAAATGCAGAAAAAAACAACTTGCGTTTCTCTCCCCCGTTTCTCTCATTGCCCCCTACCCACCACCCCATGTATCTTAGCAATTCTGAGCTGCTCTCTGAATAAAGTATCAGGTAGTCAGAAAACAACTGGCAATATAAATATAATATATATATTGGTTTTAAAAAAATCATTCCATCACATAAACTGAAAAATGTGAGATTCTTGAACAAGCATAATTTCGTAAGAGAAAGAGGAATTAAACAAGCAGACAAAAATAAATTGAAATATTCTACATTCTAGACCCAGCTACACTATATATTTTCTATTGCTATGTACTCATCTAGATCGTATTTATATCATTTTGAGACTTTGCTCAAAATTATATCAATAAGCCAAAATATTCTTAAGGGAAAATAAAACAATATGAGGAAGGGTTGCAATCTATGAAACCAGCGAACACTGCTTTCTGTAGACTGTCACTTATTTTCATGATAACAGACTATTTGCAGGCGATTAGTTTAATTACCGACTATCAGGAGTTTTCTATTAGGATTAATGAATACGTTTCCTTCACAAACCTGACATCAGTATGCAAAACGATTTTTTAAATGAAAATATACAATAGTGCAATGCAGTATAATTAAATAAAGGAATGTAAAACACCAACAAATACTTTAAGCACAGAGAAGAGAGAGAGAGAGCAAGAGAGAGACAGACAGATAGATCGATAGACACAACCGAAAGAACGCCCTTTCAGCTCTGCTGGGATGGATTCAATTAAATTAAGTCTGTAAAGACAAATACCAATACTGACCTTTCTTAATCACTTAAAAAATATCAACACCGATGAATTATTTTTATAATTTGCTTTGTCAATTGATACAGTTCTGTCCTCTCTTTTGTGGAGGAGGGCAGGCCTGGACTGAAAGCCACATATGTAATATGGGAGCTGCCATGTTGACTGCTGCACTCATCGCTATCTGAGAAAGACCTCGTACGTCTGTTTAGAGAGCAGATCATGGCAATGGTTAAATAAGCAACCGCACTTATTTTCTTCCTTTTTACATAAAAAAAAGCAAACGGCCAGGATCAAATCCCATGCGGGAATAATCCCTTAATTGAGGATAGTTTTCATTCCAAACGAGGCATTCCGGATCCTCGATGGGAGTAAAGTGAACACGTCTAGAACCTGATGCAGCCAATTGACAAATGCCCCGAACAAGGCCATATTACAGGATAAGGAATATATGAGTGTACGCAGACAATGGCGAAGGCTTCACCCACTCTCCACCTTGGGATTGATCAATTCTCTCTGACTAACGCAGACTCAACTCATTCGATTTTAATGATAATTTTTAAAGAGGCCTCTTAAAAAGAATAAAATGCCCACAAAGTTCCTGAGATATTAAGGTTTCGATTAAATATTTTGCAATAGTCTGGCTGGCACAACCCTGCAACACAGGGTTAAACTATCAACGTGTCCTGGGCGGTCTCAAACTTCCTTTTTTTTCCCGGACCGCGAAACATTTCTTTGCAGCGTTATGGCTGGTTCCGAAGTGAGCTGGTAGGAAACAGACAACGCATATTTTTTTAAAAAAAACAGCTTTCAAAATCCGTTCGGCAAAAATATTATTTATTTTTTTAAAAAAAAACATCCAACGGGCACATGGAAAAGTGGAATATAAAATGTAATCCTGAAACAGCAGAACCAGGAGCTACAGGAAGGGTTCCTGCAGCAGCAGCAGCAGCAGCAGTAACCCAATACAGGGTTAATGAAGAAAAGGGGAAAAAGCCAAAATGATTCAAATGAATACCAGCTTGTTTTACATTCTAGTAATTTCATGCTTCTTGCCAAATAATCATTCTGAAAATTCGGTGGTTTCTAAATACATTCGGTGTTAAAGAATAAAAACAGACACACAAACAAACACACACACACACATTAATCAGACGATTACAATATCTCCCACTTCCAAAAAATGCAAACTGCAGCATTCCTTTATACAGTGAGCGCGCCAAAAAAATGCACTATACAACGACCAGGCATTTTCTAAAGAGCTCGTTCAACTTAAAATCCGTCCTAACAAAGCACAAAAATAGACTAACTTTACCAACTAAACAAAACCAGGGAAAATCCCCACCGAAAGGTCAAATGAGCCCAGAGACTCAGACAACTCGCTGCTCTGCAAAGGACGAATAAACATGTGCCGATGATGAAATCCCACAAACATCAGCACAAGACACACTCACTTCAAAATACTTTCAGGAAAGAAAAAAAAACTTGAAATTCTCCACCCCCCCCCCAACACACACACAGATCTTTCATACTCACTTGTTTCAAAGAAAAAGCGCCAAATATCTGTTATGTTTGCCTTTTGGGAGTTCATTAAAAAAAAATCCAAATTAAACTCCCTTTTCCCTCTCCCTCCCCGCAGCCCCCCCACACCCCGCCCCACCCCCCCCCCCCCCCCCCCCCCCCCCACCACAAAACCTCTTATTCTCTCTGCTCTTTCAAGCTGCCTTGTGCCGCTGTGCCAAAAAGGGTGGTAACGGGTTGAAACGCTGTGTTATAACCTCGGAAGAAAGACTGGCACCGATCCTGGAACATGTGCACTTTGAAATAAAAGAGCCAGGAAATAACCCCTTCGTTGATCAACAAATTGAAACTTCGCACCACTCACTTGACAAAGATTTTCTTTTAAAAGAAACGTGACAACAACAAAAAAAAGGTCAACTCGTAATTTTTTTTGTTGCTGTTCGCACGGGTATGAGGCAGGAAACTGTATCAAACGGAGAGAGAGAGAGAAATAAAAAGTGATAATTACAACAGCCACTGCCATCTTTAAGGAGCAAGACAGCAGCACTCATTCTGTGCTTTCCACAGACACACGGCGAAGATTAAAACTTCCTTTCGCCGGCCGGCAATGCGCTCACATTGCTCTGAGAAGCCGGAAACACACCGGACCATTATACTACGTCACTCAAAGAGCTGATGGATGAGAGGAGAGAGACGCCACCCCTCCCACCCACCCACCCCCTCCCCCCCGCACCCCAACCCACCTCCCCACCAAAAAAAAGGGAGGGAAGTCGACAGGGACGGACGTGGGAAAGCCTTCACGGTGCAGCTTGCAGCCTGTAAAGCAGACAAGAAAACACTCAGCTCCATTTTTACAAGTACTCACAGGCCTGAGTAATGGAAGGCGGTCCCTACCCTAGCAACCACTTCCAGCCTTCTCCTGCACGCTTTCCCCTGCCATCCGTGCCCCCTTTGGCTGCCAACACTGGCGACAATGGGAGGCCGTGAGGATAGCTGACAACCAGTGTGTTAAGCTCGTCTGGTAGTTAACAAGTCTTTGAATGAAGAATGTTAGCAAAGAGACAAACAGCATGTCTGATGCATGCTAATAACGTTGCTGGTCCAGCCTCACAACCAAAGCTATGAATTATTCAACGGCCAGAAAGGACCCCCCTTTCTCAACTCAAATGCCTGCAGTGAAGAGAAAGTATTTTTTTAAAATTATATTTAAAAAATCATTTTCCCCTTTTTTTTCCTTCCAAATTGAAAGTGAAACTAACGTGCCTTAACGCAAATTATTTATTACTCTCATGCCACGATATCATCAATAATCCTTTCCGTACTGATCTGAAAATTTTCTTTCACATCCTATTTTATGTCTTTTGTCTGGATTTGGCACCTGTCCCAGGCAGCTCTCTATCGCACACACTGCTCCCTCCCAATCAGTAAGTGAGAGACAAAAAAAAACAGAAGTGCCGCTACTTCCACACAGCCCTCGGCACATCAACGTCTAACGCTGTTCTTTCACACACAGATCCACGGTGCAATCACACAATACAGCTGGCATTGTTTTGTTTTTGAGTGGCACAGAGCACTGGCATTTTTAAATGAAAAAAACACCTTAACCCGTGCAGGATTAGGCTGGCACTTAGAGCGATTCACTGCTCAAATCAGGGAACAATTCATTTTTTAATATATATAAAAAAACTAAATTCCAACTACACAAACCTTTGCATCACTTCACAGCAGAGAGAGGAAAATTAAACACAAAATCTGAGTCGTGCTTCTGCCAATCATTTTCAATAAACACACAGAAGTAGGCACATATTAGATAAATAGGTATATAAATAGAAATAAAAGAAAAATACAGTTTGTGGAGAAAACTTCTGCTCTTTCAAAGGACGTTTGAGGGGAGGCCCTTGCAAGAGGAACGCAAGCAATGCAAACTCAGCACAGTCGCTCTCTCAAGAGTGACTACAACTGTCTGTCAAGAAGGACGGAGGAGAGGCCTGAGCAACTGAGGCAAGCTTCCCCCTCCCATTCTTCCTGCTCCCTCTGTCTGACTATCTGCCCCACCATGTAAGAACCAGCGACTTTCATCACACAGCTTGGAATCGTGCAGCAGCAGACACCGTCCCCAATTCGAGGTCCTGCACCAGCTGCACTGTGCCACTGTACAGAGACCCTCCGTGGCCCTGTCCTCTCCACACAGACACATGATTGAGACAAGCAATGGGCT